CTTTCAATATACTTATAAAACTTGTTTTTCATTCATTCACACATTGAAATGCTTTCAAACTTTCACTCATGTGATGTGGATTAAGATTTTAAACACTAATCCTTTCAATAATTTCTTATCAATAATAACAAATATTTAAGATAAAACCCCCTTTTGCGTACATACACTATAACATAACCCCCTCCCCAATATAACATACGCTTTCATACGTTTTTGGCATGACCCCCCACTCCCCCCTAGGCGTGCGTACGTACTTTGTGAATCATCCCTTAATTAAACTAACATGACCAACTTTCCGTTCCGAGAGATTCCTTCTAAGTTTCAAAAGTAGGTAGAATTCACATTTAGTAATGCTATAAGTATTACTATTTGTAATAAATTGTAATACGTGGAACTGGCTGGTTTAAACTGTAAATTTAAATAAATAGAATGTCTTTTACTTATTATAAATTATGTAGATTATTGAATGGTTATTTCAAATCAGATGAAAGTTATTAGAATTTTTAGAAATAGTCTCTTAATAAAAATATAATCTAATAAACAAAATAATTAATAAGTAATAATAATTTTATTTTAAATAATTTATAAGACATAACACGTACGGTATTATAAATTTTTAAAAATTCAATTAATTTAAGCTGTATTTTTAAATCAAAAACTATAGTTATATTGACAATAAATTAAAGTGTCTATTATAAAATTTTATTAAATTAGTAGACTGTAAATATTATTTAATAGCATTTGTCAGATTATTATTAAAAGTAAATATACTATTGAATGGTACAATCAATTAAATCTATAATTTATTTTTTAAATATGCATACAAATTATGTGATAGTAAATAATACAGTATAATTCAAGTATAATAATTTCAATAAAATTTAATTTTGTCATTATAATTATATTGTAAGAAATAAACTTTATAACCATCACCTACATTTTTCAAAAATATGTACTACAAATGGATGTGTACCTAAAAATAAGTAGCACTAGACCTTTTCAAGTTCACAGTAATATTACATTGGCTAAATTAAATTAATAATCAGAATCTAGTAGAAATCTTATAATTCTCACAATAATGTATATAATGTATCTTATATAAAAATTAAAAACATTTACTTTTAATATAATAAGTGATTTTAATAACTAACATTTACAATACAGTACATTAATGTGTTTATTAAAATAGTTTTGAATAGATTTTAAATCAATAATTAAGTCAATTTAAAATTGGTTTAATTTTTCATAGAAACTGTGTAAAATTCAGCTATGTAAAACTGTAAATTTAAAGCAAGAAATATCTTTTACCAATGGTAAATTATATTTCTTTAATATACTGGCAGTTATAGAAGCTTTGCTAATTTTAAAAAATAGTTTTAATTAAATTATTATATTAAATTAAAACAAATAATTAATTAGTGTTCATAATTTTATTTCAAATATTTCTTAATCAAGAACATGTAACCCAAATATTTTATATTAAAATAAAATTTAATTAATTTAAGCTGTAATTTTAATCAAAAACTATAGTTATGCTGCTAATAAATTTAACTGCTAATTTAATTGGACATAATTATATGCAAAATTTTTAATGCAAATTAGTATAGCATTATAATTAAAGTTTAGAATTTATTTTAAATTACCTGTTTATTCAGAATGATATAAATCTAACTTTAATCTACATTCATTTAATAATCTAATTATTATGCTTATGATTAATATTAAATATAATAATACACAATAATATTATGTTAGCAATATTACCAGTTTACTAAATAATTTTATTTTATTTTATTACACAATAAAATGTTGATTGAAATTTATTTTTATACAGTAATCTATAATAAAAGCACATTACGGCTCATGTGTTGGTGCAGGGGTCACGTGCACCTCATGTATGTCTGGGTCGGGTTCACCGGTAATACCGTTGAGTTCAGTGCTAATAGTCTTCATCAATGGGTGCTTACGTCCGCCGCAATAGCCGTGAAAGTCGTCCGTATCGATGGACCACACGATAGCACCTCCCAGTCCTTTGCCCTTCAGGTACGACAGCTTATCCTTAAGGGATTTCTCGTCGTCATAACCCACCCATTGGTCTCCCTTCACGGCGTACACTATTTTCTGCGTGTCGTCCCTATAGGTTGTCCACCCGTCCTTCAAAAACTCGCAAATCTATTAAATTAATTAAAAATCAATTTTAGTATAAATTACTTAATTATGAACACAAATATTATTGGGTTCACCTCATTGTAACCTAGAGTACCCACTTCCTCGGTATAGGGGCCTGCTTTACCTCCTTTACTGCCACTGGCACAGGCAGCACCGATACCATGTTGGGCAGGGTTAGCCAAGGTGAATGATCGACCATAAGTACCCATTCCCATCATCTATTAAAATAAAAATAAATATAATTAATTACTTTATAAATATGGAAAGACAATAGTTTAACTAGTAAAATTTATTAAAAATTTAAGCAAACTGTAATTTTATGTTTTAAATGTTATTGGACATTTTACAAATATTTACTATTTAATAGTTGGGAATGTATCGCATATCAGTAGCTAGAATACTATTCAAATGTGTGTTTTTAATAAAATTTTAATCATGATAACTGAATACAAAATATAGATAAGATATAGTGTTTTAAATTTTATTGAAAAACACACACATTTTAATCGTATTCTAGCCACTGATATGTAATTTTATTTTTTTTGAGCAAATTGTTTTCATTTATACAAGGTTAGATAATTATTGGTTTTGATGTGTTTTTCAGAAATATTATACATTTGTTTGAGTAATCCTTACCATCATTTAAATTTTTTATTATATATAAAACTTGTTGGATTTAAAAAAGAGATTTCTGTAAACTTTTTAATCATTTGTAATATTTAATATGAAATTGTAATAAAATATGAAAGTGTCTAACAATTTTTAACGGACTGTAATCTGTATTTTGAAATATTTTTCACGCATTAGTTTTGTTTAATGTATTTAAAAAATGGTAACAGGTCGAGTGACGGTGATGATTAATAAAAATAACTTTTTACGCTACATTTTAAAATATTAAACAAATGAAAGCACCTACCAATTTTTTAGGACTGGCCCCGAGTTTAATCCAATA